ATGGCTGGCTGACTCGGAAGGGCAGGAGGGTCTAGTGGCCTCCAATAAGACAAAGGCATGCATGGGGTGAAGAAGAGGGAAGTCCTGGGGCCATTAGTGAGCAGGGGCTGGGCTCAAGTTGGAGAGTGGGGATGGAGACTTTCAGGGACAGTGAGGTGTGAATGTGGCCTCTGGGGAGTGGCAGGGCAGTCCCAGCAGCTCTGGAAACATCCTCAGAGTGGGAGGGGTGGGAAGGAAGGGCTGTCTGTCCACTTGGAGACTGGGTCCTGAAGATAGAGAAGCCACTTCCTGCAGAGGGAGCAGCCCAGACCTAATTCAAATCCATCCTAACCCTGCCGGCCCCAGCGACCTACCTTATGCCAGGCCTCTTCCCCCGCCCCAGGAGGGGGCAGTTTGGTCCTCACACTCAACTAGGGGGTGGGGTGGGGCAAGATGGAGCCCGACATTTCTGTCAGGTGGCTGAGCCTCCAAAGGATGCTCTCCTGGCAGAACCTTGTGGGTTTTTGTTTCTATTTAAGGAGCAGTCTGAGAAAGGAGGTCTGGTACACTGATGGGAACTCTCTCCCCAGATTAGCTACCCTCGTTGGCAGGCCTGTCTGAAACACATCCAGGGGGGTGGTTTGGGGTTTGCCTGTCATAACTTCCTTTAAGCATCTGGGGCGCGAACAATGGCGAATACCACGCAGAATAATCTGCTTCTGATTCTGTCTTTGTCACACCAGCGCGGGGCGGGGACCTAGCAGCCCCTACAAGGGTCTCCCAGAGGCGTCCACCTGCATCTCTGTCCTTCCCCCAGGGAAGCCTCAGCGTCAGCAGGACCTGGAGTCGGCCCTCTCAGTCCTCTCCGAGACACATGCCGCCGGGAGATCCCGCGGAGTTGGGCTCACCTGGCCGCCCCCCAACCCTGCAGCCGTCCCATCCCAAGCCCGCCCAGGAGAAAGCCTGTCTCCTCTCCTGTCGAGTCTCCGGGTGCGATTCCGGTCCAGCCGACGGGGCGGGGACCCGGCTGCCCCTGCCAGACCCCCAGCGACGCGCACTCACCGAGCTTCTCCGCCTGTCTGACCCGGCTCGGCTCCTGCTTGGGCTCGCGGCCGGCGGCGCTAGCGTGGCCGTGTGGCCCTATGGCCCGGCCCGGGCACCAAGCGCGGCCCCCTCCCTCCTTCCGCCAGTCCCGCGGGGTCCCCCCTCAGCCCCGCCTCCACCGGCTGCCCCACCCCCGCCGACCGCCGCAGCCGCTGCCAAGGCAACAGGGTGCTGCTGTCACGTGACCAGCTCGCGGGGGCGCTGCAGGCCACGTGACCTGGCAGGCCCGGAGGGGCGGGGCTCGCGGCCCCTCTTAAGGGGCAGGGGGACACTGCTGCAGGGACCCCCGCTCCTGCCCCGGCGCGAGGGCCCTCAAAAAGTGCGCATCTCTCCTGTCCCCGGGCGCACCGCGGGTAGCAGTGGACAGGGATTGGCGCGACGGCGGCCAGGCGGGCCGGAGGCCCGGGCATCCCTCGCTCTCCCGCACCCCGGCCGGCCGCGCGGCCGCTCTGGGCCCCAACGACCGGACGATGAGGCTGCGCTGTCTCACGCTGGGTCTGGCCAGCAAGTCCAGGGCAGGGTGGGCCCTGCCCGACTCCAGGTGTGTGGGTCTGAGCGCAGAATGGGAGCATGGGGTTCCCAGGGTGAGCTCTGGGGGATGCCCAGGACCGGTCACTGGCCGTGTGGAGGGGCGAGAAAAGACCAAAAGGGCGCACCCTGCAGTGAAGGGAACAGAGATCCCGCTATCAGACCGCAGCGCGGGCGGAAGTAAAGTGGGGAGTTTGGGGAAAAGGTAGAAGGACAGAGTGTTTGGAAAGGGCCCAGGCGGCTACGCCCGAGTTTGCCTGGGTGGACTGTGGCAGCACACAGAGCGCAAGCCAGAGCTGTCAGGTGGTCGCCCACAGCGCACCCCCGACTCCGAGGCCCCGGGAGACCCGCGGGGACCTAACCCTGGTGGCCGCGTGCGAATTGTTCTCGTCGTGTTCTCAGACGGCAAGGCACCTGGGGTTAAAGTCTCACGGCGGTGCCTCGCCCACTGCTACTCGCTGCTGCAGGGAACCTCTCAGGAACAATGGTGAACTCGCCGGTTTTGTTACAACCGAGATATTCAAACAGGAACATTCTTTTCAGAAAGTGCACATGAATGATTCACTACGAGGCGGCCCGGTGTAACAGAAGGCCCCTCAGTCCTTCCTGCACGCCCTACATAGGATTTTTCCACCCGTCACAACAGCACTGAACCGGGATATATTTATCCAAAAAAGATACCTTTTAGAGAGCGTTTGAGATTTTGCTCCCTGGCATATGTCATCAGTTTGGGTCAAATAAACTCATAAAAAGTGAAAAAATAAATGATGTTTTGATCCAGGAGGATACTTACAAAACAGACTATGCCAGTTCCCCTCCTGGTTACTGCCCTAACAAAGGTTACAGGAAAATCCCCGGGTCAGATTACTGCCCGACCCTCCGACCCCCACCCCAACCCCCATAGCTACAGGACAAGGATCGTTTGCATTTCGGGGCAAAATCCTCAAAAAGCAATCACACTGTGTCTTTCAAACCTCAAGCTCTTTGTAAAATGACCTGAAAAACAGGAAGGAAGACACTGTAAACTACAGTAATTGCATCATAGATGAAAATTCTTTCAGCAGGGGAGTCATTTACTTGTTGAACTCTCAGCCTTGAAGCCTGAGTGCACATCCTTTTTGAAGCTTCCTGTGCCAGTCGTCGATGCCTCCACCCCGAGCACATATATCCAGCATGCCTGGACAGAAGCAAACTGTGTCGTAATTACCAGTGCTTTTCAGAGCTAGTTTTCTACCACAGAAAATGGCTCCCCTCCCCCCAACCCCCACCCCCTGCCAGAAGATTGAGGAAGGTGACAGCACCACGTTGAAAGGAGAGAGTGAATGATCACAGTACTGAGGGTTGGGCGGGCCCCCTCACGTGCCCAGGTAGTTGAGTGGGGGTTACATGGAGGGGAAGAAGGTTCAGGTAAAGGTCCACAGTACCAGCCGCCACCCAGCGGAAGTCCAGGCTACAGTTTGGACTGTTATTTCCCTAGTTGGTTGACCTCGGCAAGTTGCTTCCTCTCCCAAGGCCTCAGCAACCCACCTTTGAAAAAGACCAGTTCTTTGAGGCATATCCCAGGGGTCAACCACCCGCTAGTCTTCCTCATCAACACAGGCCCCCTCATTCAGTGAAGGCTGGGGTCCCTGCTTCCCGTTCCACCCCAGGTCTTATCCAGGGTGGCCACACAGCTGGCATGGACAATGTATGCAGTCCCCGACACGCCAGTTAATCCTTTGGCCGTCCATTCCTATAGCCTAGCCCTTGTAACCACCCTCCGTGGAATCTTAAATTCAGATATCTCTTTCTGACCTTTCCTCACTCAGTTCTCAATCCACCACCTCGCTCCCTTGACCCTACTAAGACCCACCTTTCCCCTCTCAGCCTCCTTTCCTCTTCAGCCCATCTCCTTCCAACCCCTCCTGCCACTGTCTTCCCCCACTTCACACCAAATTTCGTAAAAGTTGTCATCGCTTCATTTTCTCAGCTCTCTACAGTCCACTGACATTGTATTGCTACATCCAGAAGATATTTCAGCCATTACCTTGTCTCATAGGGCACCCTTCCTTCCATCTAGAAATACTTCTGGTGACCCCACCTGACTTTCCCCAGCCCTGGGCAGCAGGTTCCTCTGCTGTCCCCTCGATGTGGTGTTTCTCAGGGTTGTTTGGGTCCCCCCATCTACACTTCTTCCTGACTGGTCTCACCCACTCCCCTTGTTTCAGGAGTTTAATGAATCCCAAATCATCACCGCCAGCCCTGATCTAGCCCCAGCCTGGCAGACATGCCCCAAACTTCACCATGCCCACAGCGGAATTCATCTTTCCCTCACATACCTGCTCCACTTCCTGGTCACCTGTCTCAGGAGCTGTTCCACCATCCACCCACTGGAGATCTGGTGTCACTTCTGACTCCTCCCCTCCCCATCAAGTCCTGTGAATTCTCCCACTTAAAGTTTCTGGAATCTCCCCCGTTTCTCCATCCCCCCTGGCCTCTGTACTAATTCAGGCCATCATCACCTCCGGTCTACATTACTGCAAGAGCCTCTCACCTGTCCCATTCCAAACTATTCTCTACCCTGCAAACTGATCCCACCCCCACCCTGTGTCTCCCATTCCACCTCCAGCCCCTGGATCAACTCCAGTCCCCTTACCGAGATTTTGAGGCCATGGCAGGACACCTGCTCCCTCCTCAGCTTGCTTTCTTAGCAGCCGTGCATGACTGAGCTACCCACCAGCTCAGCTCAGCCCTCCCTCATGCCGGAGGCCGGGTCACATGCCCACACAGCATCGTGTGTGACACTGCACTGGCCTTTTTGTCTGTCCCTGATCAGATCTGGAGCTCCCTGAAGGCAAGGGCTGTCTGTGTCTTGCTCACCATCATCTCCATTGCCTTGCAAAGTGCACTTACGAATCCTTTGGTTTTAGCACTTAGTTGGTGTTCAATAAACATTTGCTACAGAAAGCTGAATACTGCCTCGCAGGACTTGCCCTGGTTAACTTCTAAGGGTGTTCTCTTTATTGAGAGATGTTAATGTATGGTAATTGTAGCTTACTCTAGTCAAGTGTGCCTACTAGTCAACAAATTAGCTTCCCAAGTGGAGGAGAAAACATGCCTTTTCCAGGGATGATTCCAGAGGAAATATTTCCACGTTCTGTGTAGCCTGGAAACTAGATTTAGTTATATTCCAGTAGTACATCACCCCCTAACTCAATCTAATAATTTTTGTTTTTTCCAAAAGATAAATGCTGGAAGCAGAGAAGTGCGTTTAAATAGTAATGGTATTTAATATGCTCCAAACCAGTGTTTCTCAAGATATGGGGTATAGGGATCTGTAATCTCCTGGGGTACCTGTTTAAAATGCCTATTTGGGGCCTGAACTGTGTTGAATCAGTCTCTGGGTGTGGGTAGGGAGTCTGGAGTTTTTAGGCAGGCTACTCGGCTGGCACTGCTGCACTGTGGGCATCATTTTAGCAGTCTCCCAACGAACATAACTAACTGCATATATCTACACTTAGGTTCTTTCTGCCATAGAAGCAGTTTTTTCAGGCATGAACAACTTACCTATTTGCTTTCAGTCACTGGGACTTGCACCATCATCTGACATTTATTGAGCATCTATTATGTCCCAAGCACTGTGCTGGCACTAGGAGTACAGCAAAGAGCAAGACAAGCAGGTCCTTGTTCTTACGGAGCTCAGACGTAAGTCTGGGGTGTGGGGGTGCTGGTGTGGTAGAATGCAGGTAAGTAAACAGTGATGGGGGCTATGGAAGAAAATGAAAGAGCACAGTTGTGGTGGGTGGGTGGAAAGCTGAGGCCTGCAGGTGCAGAGTTCCTGAGGCAGGAAGGGTTCCAGGCATGGGACTGTGGGGAGCAAGAGGGTAGCAGGGCA